TGATAACTTCTTGTTTTATCTTGGGTTAAATTTTGAACCTCTCTATTTTAATTGCTTTATTTTTGATTGGATTTATGGTGATAAGTGCTGCTTTCTCTGGATTTATTGTCAGGCTAGTGATTTTTGCAAAGCTTTCTACTGTTTGAATGATTTTTTGCATATTTCTTTGATTGTTTATAATCCAACATGTATCATCCATGTATATGATTGATGTTACTTTGTCAATGATTGAAATCCATTTACCTTGTTTTTTACTTGATGTTTTGGTTTCAAATTTATATCTGAGTTTTGATGCTTCTACTTTGCAGATTAGAGGGTCATAATATATTCTCCATAGGAGGAGAGAAATTGTGTCCCCTTGATCGATTCCAATCATTGATATAAGTGAATTGGTTAGACCGTGGCATGTAATAACTTGGTTTTTCCAGTTCTCTAGCATATTCATTATAATGTTTGTGATGTTGCTAGGTGTTTTAATTCTCTTGAGTGCTTTTTCTAAAAGGTCATGTTGCATTGAGTTATAAGCTTTGCTGATATCTTGGCTTAGGAGCCAGCATTCCTTTTTCTCCTCTCTGGCTTCTTCTAATACATTGTTTATTATACTTATTGGTTCTTATGTACCTTCCTCTGGAAGTCCTGCCCAGTTTTGATCTGAAAGTATTTTGTGTTTTGTAAAGGTTTGTGCAAGTCTGTTGTTAATTATCTTTGTGAAGACTTTTTTGATTATTTCCAATAGTATGATTGGATGGGTAAAGTTGAGTTGGTGTTGCCAGTCGATTTTCTTTGGGATGGAATATATAATATTTTGCTGCCATTTCTTTGGTATTTTGCCTGTGAGCATTATCTTGTTGAATAGTTGAATTATTTGGGTAAGTGCCTGTTTACCAAGATTTTTGAGCATGGGATAGCTGATCCCTGATTTTCCTGGTGCTGAGTTGTTGGACATTTTCTTTATTACAGCATGGACTTCGGATGGTTCAATAATGGAATTTGCTTGTTGGTACCAGTCTTCTGTAATTTCTTCTTTGGGTCTGTATTCTTGTTTCCATATATCCCATTCTGGCTGTCTTGTGCTTTTCATTGTTACCTTATATTGTTGGAAGTGCTGCTCCACCAAGTTCATAATTTCTCTTGATTCTGTGGTAACCGTAAGTTCTGGCTCTTTGATGATGATTTTGTTCATTGTGATACAGTTGGATGTCTTGTTTAAAAAGGAGTTTATCATTTTCCATTTATTGTCTGTGAAGTTTGTGATTCGATTTTCTATATGTTTTCTAATTTGCTTGGCTGTGCTGTGGCGGTCTTTCTCCTTTAGCACTTTTTTGGTAATGCTGTATATTTGTTTAATTTCTTTTATCCACATTTTAACTTTCTCTGATTATGGGTCTGTTTCTTTCCAAGGTGTTCTAATGTGCTGTTCTGTTGTGTTGATTTCTCCAATTATATTTGTAATATTGTTTCGGATGATGTTTGTTCATTGGTTGAGAATGAAAAATTTCCTAGACCACATGTTGAGCTTTCTGAGATCGGTAATTTGTGTGTGCATATTTTGTTTATAGTGAGGATTTAGATCTGTGCATTTTTTATGTCTCTTCCTTTTCTTAATGTTTTGGTGTGCCGCTTTGCAGATCGCATCCCATGTAAGGTTCCATATTTTGTTGGATGTATATTCCCCTATGTTGTGTTTTTGATTTTGTTCCATAATGGTATCTTCTACCTGTTGTTTGTATTTTTCCTACTGTTTGCTATTGGTATTCTTTGTGTTGAAGATATTACTGAGTTTGGGAGTTCTGCTCTTCTGTTGTTATGTCGTGACTTCTGTTATTTCTATTCTGCATGTGGCAATGTCATGATCATTATTGGTTAGCATGTTTAAGGATTCGATGTCTGCATTAATTAGGTTCCAGCTATTATTGGATGACATCCAAATGTAGTTAATCCGAGATTGTGTGATATACATGTTTATCCAAGTGAAACTGATTCTGTTTGGCCATATTTCTCGGAAGGTATCAATGTGATCTAATTGAGTTAGGGTTTGAAGTATGTGGGCTGTTGGTATTTGGCTATTGCTCATTGGTCTTTTGTCAATTTTTGGATTGTATAGGGCGTTGAAGTCTCCTGCGGTGATAATGTGCCAGTTTTTATGGTGCCTGGTGTGAGGGTCTTTCAAAGTCCTCTCTAATAATTAAAGTTTGTAAGGCTGAGGCATAATAATTTGGTCCAAGTATTCTTCTCTTTCTCTAAAAAATAAACTCAATTTCATCTGTTAGCATGCACATTTATCTACTTAAACTATACCTAAGTTCCTGTTGTAGTAATGAGCATTCACATTTCCAATTACTATGAAACTCTTCCAAATTCCTTTATGGTCGCAGTTTCACCTTCAAATGTCACACATTTGCAATAGTAGTTAGTTGGAACAAATAGATGTTAAACAGTTTTTAATCAAATAATTGTCAACAAATAATTGTTTCTCTTTATTCAAACATTTTCTCTCACCTTATATATATGATAGAATCAAAAAATTATCTCAGATATATCAAATATATCAATTATCTAAACTATTGCTAATATATCTAATTTCTCAACTATATTAACTATCTGAAATAAATCAAAGAAATCAAAGAAAAGAAATATATTACAGATATCTCATTTTTCTCAGATTTGTCATTTTTGGGATCATTATTGCATATATTCATGTGACTATACAATTTCCCTTTCACACTGGCCCAGATTTTGTCTTGGATCCATTTGAATATAAAGTGATGTTCTAGATTACCTTTACTTGGTATGTATACCCCAATTATGCTAATATGTTTGTGGTTTTTGTAGTTGAGGTCTATGCATATGCTTCTTTCTGAATATATATCGATGTTGCCAATATGATTTGCAATGCTTTCTTTGATCATTATCATGATTCCACTGCCTTTTTTCCTATTGCTTCATGTAATATGGTATCCTTTCATTTTCCAGTATTTGGATGCATCTGATGTGACTTGTGTCTCTGTAATAATTGTAATGTTGATTTTTTCCTCATTGCAATATATTAACCATATTGCTCTTTTGATAGGATCGTTGAACCCTCTGACATTGTGTATTGCTATTTTCCAAATCTTCCATGGTTGAGTTTCTGACTTGTGTCTTTGTGTGTTGCTGTGTTCGTGACTTTGTGATGCAGCAGTATGTTGTGATTATAATGTTGTGTAGGATATTTTTTGTGGTATTCTTTGGTGTTGCTGTGTTTCTCTCAGACATTTTTGAGTTATAATGTTATTGCTGATGTTATTGGTCATGTCTGTGTCTGCTGTGTGATTAGTATCTTGTATATTATATTCTTGTAGCTTCTCTGGTAGTTGTGTATCTTCTTCTGGGTAATTGTCTATCGAATTATAAAAGTTTGACAAATTGTCAGTGATCTCATGCGCATCTGTGCTGGTGCTTGGGTTGTTTCCCATTAATTAAGATTGGTCATGGTGTTTGTATCTCCTGGAATAAGATTGTGGATGGTGTTCATAAGGTTGTTCATTGTTTGGTTAGTATGTTGGATGGTTATATGAATCTGTTTCTGTTGGGCTTGTAGGTCTTGGATTTCATTTCTGTTATCTGTCTGGTTTCTTTGTGCTCCTTCTATGGAGCCATCATCTGTACTTTGATCTGGGATGGCTTCTGTTCCTTCCATGGCACCTACTCCATCTTCGTCATAATATTCGAGATTTGTGATTCTTTTATTCATATCTATTAGTTGTTCTTTGATTTCTTTAATGTCTTGTTGAAATTGTTTGAGGATTTCCACAACTTGTTGCAGGTTGTTTGGATCTTGTACGTTCTGTGTCATATTTGCTTCTAATTTTTGAGGGCTGCTGCATATGATTCGGGCTTGCTGTTTTTTTTCCCTTTTGTAGTTGTGTCTATGGTTTTTCTGATATTTGTTGTTTTTGCTGGTTTGAATTTCTGATATAATTTATCAAACTTGTCTACTTGTTCTTTATTGTATTCCTTCCACTATTGTCATCTTTGTTTGCTTGGACAATCAATTGCTAAGTATGTATGTGCGTCACATATGGCGCAGGTCTTTGTGTCGATCTGGGCCCATGTGATTGATGTTTCACCCAGGATAAAGTCTTGTGCCATTGCTTCCTCTAAGCATTGTTGGCTTTCAAAACTAATAATTGCTACTTTTTTGCAGCGGTAGCTCCCTGTTCTGGGAATGTAACAGGTTTTGGCTTTAATTTGTTGATAGATAACACGCAGGTCAAATGCTATTGTGTTTGGGGGAGATTGACTAGTTTGGTAGCGATAATACCCCTGGCTTTTATCTCCTCAAGGCTTCATTGTTCATCAAAGATTCTGATTAAATATGCTTTGAAGGGAATGCTCCACATGTTGACTAGTTTTTTCTTGATATTTCTTTCTTGGAAAGTGACTACAGCTGTTTGCCACATACGTTGAGTACTCATACTAATGTCAGTAACCTGTCCAAATCTGGTGAAGGTTTGTTATACATCTATGAATTTGACGTCTAGAGGGATATCCCATACTCTGATACTGTTTTCCTTATTTGTATAGGGATTGGTGTTTGGCATGTGTTCCATGTACTTGTTTTTCAAACCTGGTAACTTGATTGTGCTTGCCCTTTCTGTGGCTTGCTGATCTCCAAAAATGGCTACGATCGACTCTTCATCTTTTTTTCCTTCTTTGCGAATTGCAAGAAGGCCTTCGGGTGCTTCTAAGGCTTTGATAATGAATTGTATTTTCTGCCAGAATGTAGTGCCAAGGATTTCTACTGCTAGGATTCCAATCTTGCTTCTTTGTCTGCCGTACCTTACCATGCGATCGAATGGGGAGCAGGGTCTAGGCTTATTACTTTTTCTTTCTGCCTTTCCCTTTCCTTTATTAACTGTTTGCCATTCATTTTCGTGTTTCTGGTGGTTGTGGTTTTCTGGATCTGATGCATCCATGTCTTTGTCACTATCGTCAATGTGGGCGTATCCTTCAAAAGATTATGTTTGGTGTCTCTCCATAGCTTGCTGTTTACTGGTCTGTTGTAACTTTCCATGTGTTTCCTCTTCAGGGTGGATCTTCATACTGGTAAATGTTTCTCCTATCTCTTCTTTCATCATTTGGCTCCATGTGTTTCCATGGCTTGTCTTGTTACTTTGTACTGTTACTGTTGCTTGTTTCTGTTGAATTGCAATCTTGGGTAGTAGTGTTGGGACTTGGTATATTGTTTCCGTTTCAGTTTTTCCTTGTTTTTTGCTGGGTTATCACGAAATATTTTAAATAGTTATATATCGATATACAGTATAATGCATAATCATTTTATATCGATTAAAATTAAATGTTACACATCGATTAACTTGTTATAAATCGATATATATCAAAAATCGATTAATAACAAAATAGGTAAGTAATCAATATATATCAAATTATCAATTATCATTGAACATTATTAATCTATAATTAGCATTATTGGATATACACTTTAAATATT